AAACACTGCATAAACTGTTTGTTCCTTTATAAGGTTTGGGGTTCAATAGGGAACATCGTGTGCTATAAAATTACTATATCTGCATTCTTTTTAAATTATTAAAAAGTTTGCAATTCCCACCTCCAGAACCAGTGGAAACCAGATGTATGAGCAGCCCTCCTCACCCCTCTCCTCTTGCTTCCCCAGCCAATCCAAGTAGGTGCTCATATTTGATTTGTGGGTTGTTGTTTTTTTGGATAACTGTACAAACTGATTATTGTCCTAGTGGTCTCAGTTAACAGTAAATAAAAATGTATCCTTCTTTGAAATAAAGGTTCACCATCACCAAGTGTGAATTTGGCGATGTCCCCAAGGACACCAACAGCAAGCATTGACCAGGGTAAGTCTGAATTAAAAAAGAAAAATCATGCTAAGCATAGTGCACTCTTAGTGTTTTATGTGTATTGTATTTAGAGATGTCCTGAACCACTCCAGAGGTGCTGCATTGGCACTAATATTGGCGTATTTTAAATTATCTCTGACAGCTAAAATTAAAGGAGATCTGACTGTTTCTTTACTGAATCGGATGGTGACAAAGGTTTCAGCATTTCGGCATGCTATTAACGTGAAATTATATCTTCTATTACAGAGGATTCAAGCCTGACAAGATATGTCAGGTCAATCCTAATGAAACTGGACAAAATTGAGCAGCGTCTTGAGGTCATTAATTCTGCAATAAGCCATGGTATTACATCTCAGGACCCTGAGATCTTGGAGGACTTTGGAACACCACCGGATGAGCCAGTACAACTGAAAGAAGCTTCAGCAAAGCTGAGGGGCCAGAACTATAGAAATAAAATAGTATGCAAATAAAGGTTTCATAATCAAAAAAGTCAAATCTGTATTGCTAGATTTTCACATATAAAGGTTTTTTTAATTAATGCAGTGGTGATGGAAGTCCGTCTTGTTTCCAAAATATTTTTTTAAATGTTTTTCCATTATTTTGACATTAACTTGGTAAAAACAATGTGAATTTGCATTAAGTTACAGTAAACTTATTTTATATCTATCAGGTTAACTACCTGAGCCTTTTGGGCGGACAAAGTCCTGGGGACTCTGTGCGTAGAATAATGTGCAAAATTGGCACCAATGCCCCTTGGGCAGCCTATAGTCTGAAAGGCAGAAAAGGGAAGAAAAGGTTTGAAGACCTGCTTTTATATAAAGTCATAAAGGGTAAGTGCACAAGTGAAAATGTTATTTTTATGTTATTTAAGTTATTACATAGCCTCAAATATTATTTCTTAAATAAAAAAGCATCACAACACATCACATAACATGGGCATAATAACTATTTTTGTTTTCTCTATTCTTCTAAGATGCATGTTGTAGAATACATCCGGCAGTGGCCCAGCAGATCTTTGAGCACTTTGTTGCAGAGACTTTAAAGTATGCACCCCACAGGGGAATTCAGGTTAGTAATTATCGATTTGTTAAATCCATCAAAACTGTTTATTTATTTCCAGTATATTTAATGCACTTTTTTTGTAGGTGGTAGTGCATTTGCGCAATCTGAGGACAGACATTGAAGTGGTGAAGCTGTGCGTAAGGATGTTGGATTGTTAACTGACTATCAGAAAAGTATATGGTTTCTTCATTTAAATTGTACAGTGCAAAGTAATTTTCTGTTATCTAAAACAAAGTTGCAGAGTTTGTTTAAACTTGTTGACCTTCATAATAAATGTTTAAAAATAACTGGAAACATTGTCACCAAGAACACATGCATATTTTTATGTTGTATTAATGTTAGGCTAGTGGTATTAATGTTAGGCTGGTGGTGTTGTAAAAACACTCAAATCTTTTTACACCATCAGAATTTCTGGATTTTAAAAAGCTAAATTGACAATTGGAGAAATTAAACATCATGACTGTTTTATTTAATTCCTAAAAAGAAATTTAAGTGTTAGGTTACCATTGTTTTAAGAACGTTGAAAAAACGTTATAGGAACCTTATGAAAACCTTCCCAATAAAAATATAGGGAAATGGTTTGAGAACATTCGGTCAGAAAAACATTATGTACTAACATTATTATTATTATACCCCCCAAAACAATGTTGTAGGAATGAAAAACTAAAACATTATGGTAACAATGGGTTAAAACATTCCAAGAATGTTGCCGATATAACATTCTGAAAATATTTTATTTGGAATTTTCTAAGAACGTTACCTTGAAATGTTCTTACACCCACAATATGAACGTTACAGGAACCTTTTAAAAACTTGCCGCTGAAAACATCACTGGAACGTTCTAAGATAGCGTTTTCCTAAAAAAACTGGAACGTTATTGGAACTATAAAAATTCCTAGCTGATTTTAGGTTCTTTTATTTTTGGAATAATATTGTATCCTGTCT